ATGGAGCTCATATAGTTTGATTCCTTCGCCGAGGAGAAGCCTAGGCACGTTATTTCATGTTCAGGGGCGTCAGTGCTCTGATTTGGGGAGCATCACTAATGGTTCATAGGATGTTCATCCTAACAGATATTCATTCCCCGCTAAAGCGGAAGAGCCCTAGAGCTTTCCCCTGGCTCTTCAATTAGGTGTCGGGCGCCCAACCATGGGTCCTCATGAGAGGAGGTATCCCTACAATATACCTCGAATTTCCCTGCTTAGAAAGATGTAGCTCATATAGCATGCTTCCTCCGTCGAGGAGAAGCCTATGCGCGTTACTTCCTGTTCAGGAGCGGCGGTGCTCTGCTTTGGGTAGTATCATCAACGGTTCAGAGGATGTTGATCTCAACTAATATTCTTTCCCACCAAAGCGAAGAATCTCAGAGTTTCCACTAGACTCTTTAGATGAGTGTTGGGCGCCTGGATCCCAGATCCCGTGAGAGGATGTCCCCAACACATCCCTCATAATGTTCCAGCTAAGACATCTCTTTCAAGTTGTCAAGCACCTGCTAAGGCACCTCTTTCAAGTTGTCCAGTTGTATTCCCTCTCAGTCAGAAGGAGTCACTTGTGCTCGCTTACTCCATCGAGGATAAGCCTGGCATGCGATTCCCTTACCGGAGCGTCATTGTACTCCTACTTAGTCAGAGAGAGCCCCTTGTGTTCGCTTAGCCCGTCGAGGAGAAATCTAGGCATGTGGTCCCCTTCATCACTAGTAGGTGGTGCATTGACTTAGGCATCTTGCTGAAGGAGTGAGGTGTCCAGCACCCAAGTGAAGGTCAGGAACCTCGGCCAAGGAGCGAGTCGCCAGACACCTCGTTGAGTTTGGATCTTAAGGCAACTAATGACAAGCTGGGTGACAAGTGCTTAGCCAAAGACATAAGCGAAGGAGTGAGGCGCCAGACACTCCACTGAAGGTTAGGCACCTCGCCGAACAAGGGAGGTGTCAGGTGCCCTATCAAAGGTCAAGCACCTCAACAAAGGAAAGATTCTCCAGGCGCCCCGCTGAAAGAGTGAGGTGCCAGACGCCCAACTGAAGATCAGACACCTCGACAAAGGAGCGAGTCGCCAGACACCTCGTTGAGTTTGGGTCTTGAGCCAACTAATGACAAGCTGGGTGACAAGTGCTTAGCAAAAGACATAAGCAAAAGAGTGAGGCGCCAGACACCCCACTGAAGGAGTGAGGTGTCAGACGCCCTATCAAAGGTCAGACACCTCGGCAGATGAGCAAGTCGCCATGCCCCCCCCCCACTAAAGGTTAGACACCTCTGTGAAAGAGTGAGGTGCCAGGCGCCTAACTGAAGGTCAGACACCTCGGCGAAGGAGCAAGTCGCCAGACACTTCGTTGAGTTAGGGTCTTAAGACAACTAACGACAAGCTGGGTGACAAGTGCTAGCCAAATCATTGAAGCAAGCACTCTTCTAAAAGAGCACAAGTAATCGAAAGAAAAATGGAACAGCTTAGACGATGAATAGAAAGCAGGGGATTAGCAGGGGAATCTTTTGGAAAAAAGAAGAAAATGGGAAAAGAGTGCTAGGTGCTGATTCAAATGGGAAAGGCAAAGAGTGTTTAAAGGAAGACTGAGAAGTATGTTTCAATTTCATTTGATTGTTAAGATTGAATCCTCTGACACGAGCTAAAACGCTCAACTATATCGGAAGAAGATCGTATCGGTAGAGCCTAGAAGCTCCTAACACAAGCCTAGGTGCATCCTCTAAGATGCAAGATCAGGCACTCAGGAAATAATTGATGAGGAAAGGCATAATGAAAGCGTCAGGCGCTTGATAAAAGGGGCATGATTGCTTATTTAGCTAGTCTTCGTTACTTGAGACATGTGCTTATTCTTCCTCATTTTACTACATCTTGTTTGGAAGCAAGCCCCCTACGAGGGTGCACAAGCACTCAACAGATCAGAATATCGACAAGGGAATGAAGCACCCTCTTGAAAGGAAGAGCTTGGTTCCGATTAAGTAAAGAAAGAGAGCTGACACTTAATCGAGAAGATGAGAAAGCAAGTTTAGTGAAAGACTCTCTTTATGTTGACGCCGCCATGATACTCATACCGATGCCACAGAGGCAAGTGATAGGGTATGAAGGTAAAGCCTAATACTTGGAGAAGGTCTACAAGAAGAGTCCAAGAGAATCCAAGACATAGGGGCAAAACCCTAGAGACTTACATCATTAGAGGAAAAAGACAAGGTTAAGAGACAAGTTGGCACACCTGACGTCAGCAAGGAAGAGGTTAGGGGGACACCCTCTGCACCACCAGACACCTTCTGACCAGAAGTACAATGTACAGTGACAGAGAGTCTGAGGAGCATGGACCACCCACATAACATCCAGACTTGTATAAATAGGAGTGTTCTTCTCATGAATGACATGCTATCTACATTTACTACAACTTCTCTCTCTAGTAATTTCCCTCGTGCTCTAGGTAAGAGTGGGATGAGCCTGCACTCTTGGAGTCATGTCTATCATCCCAAACCCCTTTTTCCCCGAGCGACCCCCTGTCATTTAGGCTCAAACAGTAACTATATAGGGGTTATTAGTATTGTCCTAACCCCAACTTCAACATTTACATTGCTCAAGCTGATCTAACGAATTTTAGGGATAAGATAGAATAACACATGTCACATATACAACCTATAGTGTTATGACTGTAACAATAAAGGATGTTAACCCAATTTAGTCCGTTGATCTGGTTGAGTAAGTAGGTTTAGGGCTAATGGTCCAATCATTTTAGTCTGAATATTTGAAAAAGTCATGGAGATCGTGGAGCTTGTTGGTTTGAAGAAGGATGCAACAACGATCGAGGTTGGGACGCAGGCGAACAAGTGTAACCAATGCTATTGAGTTGTAGCTAATGTTGAAAACTATTGTCTTGACATACTTGATGTACCAAACTTTAAAAATTTTGGTCTACTAATGAGTTCTGTTGTGTGACGAGCTTATGGCGTGCTTTAAAATTTTCTGGTTTAATTTTATGTTTTTGTGGTGTGGTTTGTCGTGTTTATGGTCTGACTTTTGTGGTATGCTTCATGGTACGTTTGGCCGTTGTCAGCCAAGGATGGAACACGAAATAAATGGGTAGTGCCACATATGTGTTGCTTTGATAATTTTTAAAGACGACAAACGTGCCCCTCCCTTTAAAACCAACAATCAAATGTGATCACCCCTTCAATAAATAATTAGCAAACGAGAAACTTCTTAGTGATTGTGGTTAGTCTTAGCACCATGCTCAAATTAGTAGTTGGCACCCTAAGACCATCTCCAACCCATTAATTAGAAAATCAAATTTAGACTAGCTTTGGTTTTCTAATCCTACGAAGGTGGTTTTGCTACAGTTGGGAAGAACAAAATTATAAATCTCCCAAGTTACATTTTTCGGCAAATTTAGTTTAGAGTAGATTTTATCATTTTCCATAATCTTTTACTTATTTTTATATAAGTAGTAATATTAATTAAGACAGACATTTTGATGTAATATTTTTTTTCACTAAAACACAGCAACTAGTCCAGGTCTTCATAGATTCTTCACATGTGTGCCATAATGAGCTGTAACAAGCCTTGTATAACGCTTCATCTTCATCTTCCTTCCAATTTAGAGGGCGATTAATTTGAGCCATGACCAAGAGTTTGTGAAAAAGAGTAGTTCTTTTGTTTGATGCGAAAATGAGAAATGTGTTAATGATGAGAAAGAGAGAAAATTGGGGAGGTTGATGCAACTGTAAGTGAAGAATTCTTGTCTATTTGTAGAGAATTTTGAAAAAATTGCTATTGGAGTGAAAAGAGCAGTTGGGCTGAAGTCTAGGTGCTGAAGGGTAAGAATTCCTTTGGTCTTATCATTGGAGTGCTAATTTTTTGATTTTTTTGGTTTTCTAGTCCTAGGGTTGGAGACTATCTAACCACAATTAGTTCTAGTTGGGTTGGGTTGAAGGAGAAGAAAAGAGTGGGTATATGTATACCATGTCCTTTTATCGTGTATTTTTATCAAACTCTCTCTATTATTTTTTACATCAAATATACTCCTATACTTTAAAAATTTATAAAGTATGTGCTAAATTTTTTATAAAAAAAGTGATGAATCATTGTAATGAGAGGCATATTATACATATAATACTACTTTTAATTTTGTTAATCCCAATTTTTTCCAGTTAATTTTGATACCACTACCACATTACTTTTTTTAATCCCGGTTCACGGTTTACTGTTTAGCGGTCCACGCAAGAGTAGGGATGGCAATGGGGCGGGTTTGTCTAAACCATCCCCATCCCCATCTTCAAATACCCAAACCCATACCCGCCCCATACCCATGCGGGGGAATGTTTTGCAAACCCATCCCCATACCCGTGGGTTTTGGGTACCCATGGGTAATACCCATCCCCGTACATCCAACATTATTATACCTAAAACTTACAAGAAAAGTTTTAATTATAAGTATAAACAAACCTATTATATCACGAAGTCAACAAAACACGGTCATTTTCTAAATACGATTCAAAGAATATGATCCTAAAACATCCATTAATACATAATATAGACTATAATATTTTTTAAATTATTGTGCTCTAACTCTTGATACATTTACTAAGTAATAATTAACTAACATAATTTTGTTGACAAGGGGGAAAGTGAAAGAGTGGAAGGAGAATTGAGGGAAATGAATTAGGTTTTGATTAAGGTGGTTACTCAATTGCATTTCTACTATTTATTTTCTCGAGTTATCATCATCATCATTGATAGATTACAATTTAATCCACGTATTTTTTGATATGTGAAGAAATTCTCTTGGTGGGGCGGGTATGGGTATGGGTATGGGGCGGGGGAGGCTAAAACCATACCCGCCCCATACCCATCAAACCTTTTGCGGGTTTTACCCATACCCGCCCCATACCCGGTCAAAGCGGGGATTCCCCGCGTTGACTGGATATGGGGCGGTCGGGTACCCGCGGCCATGGGTTTGATTGCCATCCCTACGCAAGAGAACTGAGTCCTTACTGAAGAGTCCAAAAGAAAGTTGAATAAAGAAGAGAAAAGGCGGCAGTTCCGAGAACAGTTTATGCAACCACCAACAGATTGGACTTGGTAGTTAAATTCGGCAACCTGAGTACGCGGAGGCGGAAAGAGTCGGAGAAGGAAGGCCAGTGACCGGAGAAAAGATACATCGAGGCAAAATGGAGGCATTGGGATGGTGGCTAATGCTCGTCGGAACCCTTCGATTAGCCTCCGTCTGGTTCGGTTTCTTCAACATTCCCAGGCTTAGGTCTGGCGTCTACGGCAAATCTCCCAGTAAGCCCTTCCTTTTCCTTCTTCATCTTCTTTTCCAAACAAGTCAAACGTTTCTTTGGTCCCCTTTCTTAATTCGTTGCTTGGAATGGTGTTTGAACAAAATTCGGAAACCGAGCTATGTACCGAGATCTGTGCAAATGCAAATGTCGTCGGTGTTTGGTTGGTCAAATCGAACCTCTCGAGGCTTACGAAGTTTCCACCTTGCATGTGTTGATTGGATCCATGATTTCGGGAGAAAGCAATGAAGCTAAAATCTGAAATTGCTTGCTGAGTGTTACTTTCTTGGGCATTCTATTTACCTTTTTCTGTTCGCAAGTTTAGCTTTAAAAAAATGGATGTTCAGTGATTTATGTCTTCGTCTTTGGACTCTTTGGAGATATTAAGTGATTTGTTTTCGAAGTTAGCGAGTCAGCCTCTGTTGCATTCCTTAAGGAAGAAGTCAAGAAATCCTGCCTTTGATTGATTGATTGATACCCCTTTTCCTTGTTTGCGGGGGAGGGCAAGGTAGATCTTTAGTTGGGTGCGTCCGTCCATATCCTTTGCTCAAGGAATGGTGCTCAATGGGAGAGATATTGCATTACATTATGTGGTAAAGCTGAAAACTTGAGTCTTTTTGTGGGAGGAGGAATGGCGAAAATCTAACAGGATCAATATACTTTATGGACAATGAAATGAATTTGGGTGAGATTCTGGTGAGAGGATAATCAAAGGTCTATTTTCAGTAGCCAAGAAAGATGTGGGTTCGCAAGAATCAGACAAGGATATTGAATGTTGCTAACACACTGAGGATTTGGTGTAGATATGTTCAGGATTGGTTCTGTTCCAAGGGATGTATTTCATATTAAATGACTTCATGCTAAGGTGGTTGAGGCTATGATTTCTTACTTAGAAGGGTGGCTACAGAGGGGGTTGAACTTGCTAGATGTCAACTAGTTCAATCCATGTTCTGTGAGGTGCATGAATCAGGAATTCTGCACTCCAGGCCAAGAATGTGCACAGGAACCAGGAAAGTGTGAGCCAACATGAACTTAATAATGGTTTGTTACGTATATCAATGCCGGTAGGCAGGTTGCTTCCCTTAAACTCCATGCCAAATGGCAATTGTTTTCTTTATGGGGATCCTGAGAGATACGGAACTGAAGATTTTTTATGAAGCTTTCAATCACCATGAATCATCTTAACCACAAGCTTTGGTTATTGGAGGTCACATGCTACAATCCAGGATAAGTTATGGGCCTAGTAAAGAATGCCAATCACCTTAGTTGTGAGTTGGAAAGGAAGAATGGTAGATTTTGTCTAATAATGCCTGAATGTTACTGAACATTCCACTGGGTGCAGAATGTGAACAGATTGGGGAAATAAAGAACTGCAGATGGAAATGCATCATCTGGAACCAGCTGATTATTTTTTCTTCCTGATAACATTAGAAATATTAATGCAGGGGAATGAACATCTTAAGTAGGGTCCCCTGATAGACTTTAAACGTCTCAAGGTTCAGCTAAGACCAGCTTTTCATTTTACCTGTGTATACGCCTATTTCAATTTCTAGAGAACTATCGTTGGAAACATAACAATTAAGAACTTGTTAACAACTTTATGGCACCATGCTCGTGCCTTTGATAATGCTGAAGAATGCGTGTTCATTAGAAAGGACATGGTAAAGTCCCACAGCTTATGATAAACATGCAGAAGAAATATACGTTTGCGGTTACTGGCCTTTCAATTCTAGTTTCTGCTGTCGTACTTGCTGACCCTCCTTTTGGCAACTTTATGCAGTGACTGCAGTTCATGGAAGGACGTTTGCAGTTTGGACGCTAGTGACGTGCACTCTTTGCTATACATGTGCATTTAACCTTGATGACAAGCCACTGTACTTGGTGACCTTCTTATCATTCATCTATGCGCTTGTCCATTTCTCAACCGAAACCCTTATATATCAGTCCATGAGCATTGCTAATTTGATGACCGTCAGCATCTTTGCTGGTAAAATCTCTTTTCTTATACTTTGCTTTGATTTTAAGTTCTTCTTGTTCGAATGTTCTTACTTGGTGGAAGTTAATGGACTCTCTGCTTACTGTGACTGACCATCTTGGTGCATTCATTATGATCTTTGTTCCTAACTTTTATCATTAGATTTTGTCGAAGTGTATGTAGAATTTAGTGATATTGATTGAAGAATTAGGCCGATAATTTTGCGAGTCTAGAGCTCTGTTCACTTGGCATCTAAGGGCTGTTTCTTACTTTTTAGCTTTACTGATTCTTGTCTCTCCCAGACTTGGGGGTTGGAACCTTGTTCCATGACCCCCTGTTTCTTGTTTGGGACCTATTCTCCCTTTTCTGTTACTCTAATAATATCGATCACCCATATATATATATATATATTTATATATATTTTTTGCGAGTCTAGAGTCTAGACCTTCATCGTCTAACTGAGCCATACTGTTGTGACGTGTTGGCATGCTTAACTTCAAAATTTCTCTGTTTTCTTATGCCCAGACTGCCTAGTCATCTACTGTAATTGGTGGAAAGATGATTTATAGCGTCTGACGGTTTTTCGTCTGTAGATTGAAATTCCAACTTGCATCTCCAAATGTCACCTGGATTGCCTTGCTTCATAAAGCAATTCTTATCCACGTCCACTCGTTGAAAGTTCTATCATTTGCATGAACTCCTCTAATCCATATTCTTACATTTCATGTGAACCAGGTACATCGATAGTATGGATGCTGGTGCAATGGAACTGACATCAGGGAAGCTGAGCCTGATCATTTTCTTAAAGCGAAAGTACTCCTAGTCGGGGATGGAGTTCAGGTTTAGTTTCCTGTTTTGTTATCAGATCCTTCCTGGTCCGAAGGAATGGACCTCAGGTTCAATGATTTTCACGCTGTGGCCGCTGGTGCTCTGATTCCTTAGGCAAGGAGGGTCTGTAAAGTTTAGATTTACAGAGCGGATGGATTCGCTATGGTGAAGTAGTTGTTTTATGGGTGCACTTGATTAGGAACTCTGCAGTCTAAGCCAAAGGCATGCGTAGAAACTAGCAAGAAGTAACTCCACATGAATTTAGATGTTTTCTTATTACGTACTTCACTGCCGATGGATCCCTGTTGTGGTTGCTTCAGCTAAAATGTTTCTTTGTTCCAGACATTTTCAACTGTTGTTCGTCATCGTTACCTTTTCTTTTAATGGATCATTCGTCACCTATAACCATAAGCTTTGGCATATTAGAAGGAGCTACCATGATAAGATGGATAAGGCATGGATCGAACAAGAATATGTCATCCTGTGGAGTGGCATTTTTCTTTAAGTTTGTTATAAATAATGATCACATCGTGGGAGTACACAACACTGTTGGAATAAAAGTAGAAGAACAAGTATAGCACCGCTTTTATTTCATACTCTCATAGAGTGATTAATATGAGAGATTACATTAAGAGAACATATATAGAGAGAGATGAGGGGAAGAGAAGTTGTGTATTGGAGTGTCTTCTCCTTGTCTTCTTAGTCTCTTTTATAGGGGAGAGAGTCACTTGGTCGAAGACATCAATGGCTCATGCCAATACATTTCCAACCAATTCCATAAAGGTTGGTTAAATGATGTATCAGGCCCGTCAAGGGCAGGTGCATCATACCATATCCACTGCGAGCTCTTCTTCTCAGGCTAATGGGCCATGGCTTATGGATTATGCAGCTTCCCATCATGTAATTCCAAATTTGGACCAACTCTCCATTTATTCAGATTATACAGGCCCAGATGAGATTATTGTGGGTGATGGATCAGGTTTAGCTATATCTCATATTGGTTCCACCTTTATTTCCGTTATCTCATGTCTTACATTTACAAGATATATTGTGCGTCCCAAGTATCAAGAAGCATCTCATTTCTGTGGCCAAATTGTTCAAACTAATCTTGTCTTTGTGAAATTTTTTGCCACTCATTTTATTGTGAAGGATCTCCGCACGGGGGCGCAATTGCTGAAGGGGGAAAAACACGGTGATGTTTATGAGCTACCTCGTGAAGTGGAGAATGTGAGAATGGCTTTAGTAACAACTCACACATATGCACCCTCCTAGCATGCTCGTCTGGGTCATCCTTCCCATCAATCCTTCACTAGTCTCATTCGGTCCTATTCTCTTCCAATTTCATCCTCCGTTGGTAGCTTTTCTTGTGATGCATGTCTTTATAATAAAAGCCATAAACTCCCTTTTTTCTGTTTCTTCTTTATCAAGCATTAGACCTTTTGATCTTTTGTACACTGATATTTGGGGACCCACACATGTTTCCTCTATTAATTATTCTCGCTATTATTTGATTATTATTAATCATTTTACTTGACATACGTGGTATTATCCATTGCGAAACAAGTCTAATGTTCTACAAGTTTTTCTTGACTTTAGGATAATGGTTGAAAATTATTTCTCAACTACCATTCGGCGCTTATACACTGATGGGGGCGGAGACTTCCAAAAACTCCGTTATGATCTTCTTACTCATGGCATAACCCATCTTCTCACTCCTCCTCATACTCCCGAACATAATGGGCTTGCTGAACGAAAACATCGCTATCTGCTTGAAACTGGTATTAATCTTCTTCATCATGCTAAATTTCTCACCTCTTTATGGTCTTTTGCCTTTTACACTGCCATTTAGCTTATCAATCGACTCCAGTCTTCTGCCTGACGTGGTAAAATATCTTACACCATTCTTTTCAATCTCTCTCCTAATTATCACAAGCTTCTTCTTTTTGGTTGTCTTTGTTATCCATGACTTTGACCATACTCCTCTCACAAGTTTGATCCACGCTCTCGTTCATGTCTTTTTCTTGGTTACTGTCCTCAACGTAGTGCCTACCATTGTTTTGATCCCGACACTCAACGAATATTTCTCTCTTGTCATGTTATTTTTGTTGAGTCCTCCTTTCCAGGCTATCACCACTCATCTTCCGTTGACTCATCCACCTTAGCCTCTTGGATCATGGATTTTCCCCCCAACCATTTCCACTATTGCAGGTCGTTCTCCATTCTTCACAGGCACAACTCAACATGGACCGCTGCCTGGCCCACTCCCTTCAGCGTCAGCGACTCTCCTACCAGATCTCTCCAATGGGCCGCCTTCCTCTAGCCCATCTTCTTTGGCCTCTTCGACTGATGGGCCACAGACCCCGCCGAACGGGCCTCCGCCAGTGCCTACCCAGCCTCCCCCTCTTCTCCGCACACATAAGATGCAGACACGGGCCTTGCATGGCATTTTCAGGCCCAAAAAGCACCTCTTCCACACTCAATTGGCCCACCCGCTTCCGCCCCTTGAACCTCTCAATGTATAGGAAGCCCTTCGCAATGTTGAGTGGTCCGATGCCCTCTCGGGTGAACAGCAGGCTCTTCTCGCCAATTCTACTTGGGATTTAGTTCCTTGATAACCACATTTTAACGTCCTTGGTCATCGTTGTGTCTTTCACGTCAAGCATCACTCTGATGGGTTATTGCTCGGTTCAAGATTCGGTTAGTGGCCAAGGGCTATAATCAATGACCTGGTCTCGACTTTACAGACACTTTCAGTCTGGTGGTTAAACATGTCATCATTCGCACAGTATTCACCCTGGCTCTCTCTCAAGGATGGTCCATCGCTCAATTTGATGTTAATAATGCTTTTCTTCAGGGTCCTTTGCAGGAGGAAGTCTATATGGTTCAGCCGCCTGGGTTATTGATTCTTCTTGGCCTACTCATGTTTGTCGTCTTCGCTGTGCAATTTATGGTCTTCGTCAGGCTCCTCGGTCCTGGTAATTGGGTTTGTGAGAACTCATTCGGACGCCTGTCTTTGTCTATTCTCGCGACAATGTTCTTCTCTATTTCCTGGTATATGTTGATGCCTTGCTCCTCACTGCAATGATCTCAGCATCGTCGACAGTTTTGAGCAGGCTTCAGGTGCTCGGGGCTCTTCAATATCTTCTCTACGCTTGTCAAAAACCTTTCCTAGTCTGTCAATAAGCTCTCTCAATATATGCATGCACCCACATCTCATCATTGGCAGTGTGTCAAACGTTTGTTGCGCTAAATTTTCGGTACTCTCACCTACGCCCTCTCTATCCATCGCGTTTCTAGCTCCATGTCCCTCTTCGCATTTGTCGCCTTTGATTGGGCCGGAAATCTTGACATCGCTTCTCCACGTGTGGGTATTTGATCTATCCGACTCCACTCTTATTTCTTGGCACTCCCAAAACCAGCGAACCGTCGCCCGTCCCAGTACCTTGGTCGAGTACCGTGCCATTGCTAATGCCACGGTTGAACTTGAATGGGTTCAGAATCTTCTTAAAGAGCTCCATCACACTCTGCCGACTGCACTTGTTCTTTACTCCGACAATCGTGGTGCCACATACTTCAGTTTCAATAAGGTGTTTCATTCTCGCATGAAACATCTAGCTCTGGACTATCATTTTGTTCGTCAGCTGTTTCAGGCAGGCTGCCTCCACGTGGCCTATGTCTCTACTACGCATCAACTTCCCGACGCTCTCACCACACCACTCCCTACTACCAGATATCTCTTGCTACGTTCCAAGCTTGGAGTCGTTGATACCTCCTCCATCTTGCGGGGGTGTATTAGAGATGATTTAAAATAAAAGAATTTTTATTTCTTTATTTTTCCCACTACATTCAGTTCCTATCTATCTGGAACGTTGGTTTATTCTGTTCCTTCTTTCTCTCACCTCACTTGTATAATAACTCTGTAAATGTATCAATCCAATCTACATTTGATTTTCTACAACAAACTAAATTCTACAAACCCTCCTTTCACAACCCACCCCATTGCTTGTATGTTGTAAGGATTTCCATCCTACGTACACAGGTATAAACATCTTGTACCTTTTAATCATCCCCAAAAGAAACATCTCATGGGAGAGTTCGTTCTGTTTTGTCATGCTTTGTAGTAGGTGTGGGCAAGTGGTGCAGTTGGATCGTACTACACCGTATTGATACAAACTGCACAACACCACATGTTATTTGGACCGCACCATACGGTTGGCTGCAATTTAATTGGTGCGGTCAAACCAAATTGCTTAGGTAGGCATTTTGCTGAGATTGGGGCGTACCGTATATTTGACCGCAATTTAAATGTCATGTTATTACACCTCAAAATAATCTTTTACCATACTGATGAGTTACAAGTTGATTAGTGATCTTATAAGGCCATATCAATTAGAACAATTAATGTTATTTAGGCTGGGCCCCATGGATTTGGACTTTTAAGCCCAAACCACTAAATCATAGTAAGCATGGACATGATTCAATAAGAACATGACCCTCTCGTAACAGGCAAAGCCATGCCATGTCACAAGAATAATAAAACATGAACCTCAAGAAGCATATCTCAAAGAAGACAAAAAATTAGTAAGTCTGAGAGGTCCATAACGTTTCACGAGAAAGACCATGGACGCAGGACAAGAGGCCATGGGAATGATTGAAAAATAATAAGAAGGCCATGTCGTGTCACGGGAAGGGCCAGGGACAAGATTGAGAAGAGCCGCGAATGAAGAGGTCTTTCTATGAGATCAAGTGTCATGACCAAGATTGGACGCCCAAAAATATACTATGTATGGGAAGGCCATGGTTGTTTCGTCAGAAAGGCCATGGCCATGATTGAGAGGTCCATGTTGTGTCGCGAGAGGGACAATGGGCACAAGTGATAAGAGCGTGGGAGTGGAGCATTATGTTACTAGTCATTCGGTTAAGTCCCATAAGGGCCATGTACATGATCTAGAATTCCATGGCCACGAGGCAAGAGGACCATGATCCCCTAACACCACAGGTTTATCAAAAGAATAGCATGACATGAGATTTGAAATGAGACCAGGCTTGGCAAGCTACATTTCAAGACCCACGACAGTTCCAAGAGAGGCACCTAGGAGGTTGAGGGAGTAACCATCACTCCAAAAAAGGGGGAGTGATTCTTCATAGCAATTATGCAACAAACAGTTTTCTATGGTGGTTACCTCTTTATTCTATAAATAGGAGGGGTCGACAGAGACAAGGGTTCCTAAAACCAATACTCTGACACACATGTCAAGTTTATCCTTCACCTTTTCTCTATAATGTAGCCATAGACATAGCTTTTAGTTTGGAGCTCTCACTGAAACTCCATAGGAGTAGAGTCATTTAATTTAGTTTCATTCCAAGAAAAAAATTCATCAAACACCCTCGTTTGAACT